GTCTCCGTCAAGACTACTTTCTGTCTCTTCTCCTCTTTGCATTGTACATTGAAAGGATAATCAGACGCAGCTAGGGCAATGAGTTAATCAGCATAAATTAGTTAATTAGTCTCAATTAGTTAATGGAGACGAGAAAATTGCCGCTTCCTTTCGAAACTGTTTTGTTAGCATCTTCTGAAGCTGATCTCCAGAGCCCTTTGGAAACGTTTGTAGAAGAATACGGCATGGCCGGTATGCATGTGATCGTGTCTGGAAAAAAAGAGTAGTGCCTTTTTCCTTCTCTTGCCAGGTGTGCTCTTCAAATAAAGGAGAATCAGTTAAATATGTGGAAAAATTCGCGTACCTCAGAATCTTATTTAGTGGTGTTGGGAAATGGAAAGAGATTGACCGGCGAATTGAAATAGCCAGTAACATCAGCCCAAATTGTTGTGACTAAAGCAAAATTGCGTTTTAAGGCTAACGTCTATGTGTTGAAGTCGATCTTCATTCCCACACTCTCCTAGGGTGATGAGTCCCGGGATGTGACAGGAAAAATTCATTCCTTGGCACAAGAGGTCGCTGAGACGAACCACAATTCTCAAGCGTCTCGACATAGTCCGCATTCAAAAAAAAACCCTGGATACATTTGCGAATGCGCCCAGAAATTAATGCGAATCCATTTCAACTGACCCAACCCACCGACGGAAGACCCTGAGACGGCCAAGATTAACCTCTAGCAAGTGTATCAAAGGGCCCTGCTCTAAACTGAAGTTCTCTTCTGCCGGAGCTCAAACAATGGCACAGGATCAGTTACGCTGGAAACATTGCCTGACGCGTCTACTTCCGCGACCCAAAATGACAAGCGGTCATGGAAACTGACTGATTTATTGATATATTTATAACTGCTCAATTATACTGTCAGTTTTCGGCATACTCGATTAAACCAGCAATTAATAATCATGAGATAGCGAATGATTCCTCTAAGACTAGATTAAGAAATATAGTAGAACAAAATGCCTTCATAAACGTTATTTACTTGTCTGTAGTCTTCGTATTCCATCATGCCGACTTGTGGTCGAATAGTAGTAACTAAATAGCAAGAGTCAAAATTTTGCATAAATTAAAACAAATTAATTTTTGCGCCTTCGCAATAAATTATCAGTTCAGCATCAGATAACGCTACCTTAAGAATTTTAAGTTAATATTGTGCAACAGTGCACGGAGGTGGGTGAAATAATGTCGGCCTATGTCTTCATAGTGTTAGCAGCAAGAAACTTGGTTTCTAATCTGCGCTGCTGTACTTAAGAACTAGTTGTGTGTACAGTAGCAAGACTTGCACAATTAAACGAAGAGTTATACGCTAGCTCATCCTCTCATTGTCATCAAACTGCATGAAAAAAAACAGAACAACTCCTCCGTCAAGAAGGAAACTATCATACAACAGAAAACGAAAATCTCTGCGAAACAAGTGGTGTTCTGAGAATTAGAATTGAAACAGTAAACTGAATACCGAAAAAGAATGAGTACTGTCGTTCATACATACAACTTAATGTTTTTTCTTCGCAATCACCAACTTATATCCAAAATGGATTAATCCTCAGCTCCAACCTTCCATTTAAATTACTCTTTCTGGATCATAACTAAATTAGAAATACGTACATGGGTAGCTGGCAATTTTTGGTTTCGCCGCAGAAACAGCCTTGAGAAAGGTTGATTTTCCAGCATTTGGGAAGCTAAAACACGTTGAAATAACCGCTTGTTAGATCAATGCTCCGAATTTCAAATTTCACGCAGTACCCAACTAAACCGACATCCGCAATCAACTTCAGGTCAAGTTGCAGCATGTGAGGCTCTCCCTTCAAACCGACGTATTTAGTTGCTGCCGAGCCACCAGCACCACCCGTTGCCACCAAAAGCCGATCGCCGACTCGATTCAATTCACCTTAAAACGGAAGAGAGGATAGGGAACTGCGAACGTATTCTCGAAGTACTTACCAATCACCCGCTTACTATCGGTAGAAACAGTGATGCCGGTCGGGACATTCACAACAAGATCTTCTCCTTTTTCTCCAATAAGAAACAGTTTACTAAAATGACAAAAACAATCACCAAATTGACAATCGACTAAGGATAATTAAGTAGGATGTTAACTGAGAAATAAAAGGAACTTAAAAATAAAGACTAGTGAAATAGCGCTGAAAACGAAGCTCGGTACACTGTAACAATATAGTTACTGCGAACCCTAAAATATTGGTACCCCTTTCTAAATAATAAGAGTTTCACTTAAATCTCAAAACGTATAAAGAACATAATACTAATGCGAGAACTCTAAACTAACGATGTTCAAGAAAGCGAACGGATTAAATACACCAGAATAACATATTACCGTATACATTTTAAATGGGTATCGATTAGCTCGCTCTCAAAAATAGTTGCTCTATTGTCGATCATGGTTCAGGGCAACAAAGAATTCAGTGATCTAATATAGGACATCGAGACTGAAACGCGTGAAGCAAAAATTTTTACATATTTCTTAAACCTTTCCACCCTCAACAAGGCTCAAACACATGGTCGCTGCAAAACAATGCCGCAAAGTAAGCTGCATCATACTCATCGTGCTCAACGTAAACTATGTGTCCTTAAAGCTATTTCTGATCAAAAATTAAATTTCACCATTTAACATTCTTATGAACTTAAACGTCTGTCCTCAATTAATAATAACTGCATATCAGTTTTACGAACTTAAGCAGTAATAAACATAACCCAGGCAACCAGGGTCCTGTGCAACAGACCGTGAATTTTGGTTAAATGAGTAATGCGCTATTTGAGCAACAAAAACTATTAAATACTCAGTAATTTTAAGTGTTATTTTTAAATAGATGGTATGTGCAAACATCACTACTTACGCTGAATTCAAGGATACTGATGCGTCCTGAAGATAGTTATGGGAATTTTGAATTTCATATCGCTTCAATGTTAAAAGTATTGTCATGAATAGGCAACGAAGCGGATGGGAGTACTGGAGACAGACATCTGGGATAGACGCGCACTCTCACCACCCAGTCACAATTAAAATGCAACTGTGATCCTAGTGACGAATAGTGCTATTAAAATTGTCAAGCAAACCGCAAATAAAGAATTTCTACTGATATGGATCCCTCAATCCACAGAATGAGAGTTCACTATTCACGTAATTGTAGGCTCATCAATCAATTTTCCTACAATATAGCAACTGTTTTCCGATATCAATAATTACACAATTACATCATTCGGTAATGATGTTGCTGTTGATTTGTTTGTTGTAATCATTTTTACAACCTACAGGCTATCCGCTCATATTCATTTATCGCATTTAATTCGCAGTGGCCATTACGTGGATGTGGAACATCAGATTAGCCATCTGACCTGACGGTAATAAATATCCAGAAGGTAGGATGGAATTTAATTTCAAGAACTGATCTTAAAATGAACCTAAAAATCTTCTGATACGTTAATAAACATAAAGACTCTATAGACTAAAGTGAAGAAACATAAACAGCAATACATTCTGGAGAAGTTAAAGAAACAGAAGAACCGGTAACGTTAGATCAACATGGGCCGCTACCCTGACGCCGAGTAGTAGTACCATTAATTATTTTTGATCATCTAATGTAGCATGGCGATAAAACAAATATGTTGCCATAAAGAGAGACTGGGACCTGTGTATGTTCAATAGGAGAATGAATACACTCCCGCAAACGTTTCTGAAAAATTCAATAAAATGGTTTGAAGATCGGTCTGAAAATGAAGGAGTTTTCCAACGGCTAATGAGGCAGAATGCTAATGACGGAACAAAGAAAATGCGGTGCCACATCTATGCCCCATGGATGGAGAACAGCCCAACTACTTCGAAATGCTGGATATGGTGAAATAGTCATGTATGCCGCAAAATGAACTTAAAATTTCCGTGGTATTATGCAATAAAAAATTAGTCTATTGAAAGGTTTTGAAAAGAGCCGAAAATTGAGTACTTGGTTCGCATGTTGGCGATTATACTGAAAACAGCACAAAATATCATTGACTTTTACAATACGAAAATAATCTGGATAACGGATGACTGAGCATACTGAGTGTCGGCCCGTGTTTCAAGGATTTGTGTTAAAGTAAAGAAATTGATTTCGGAAGTTTTTCGGGTCTTTGATAGCTTCGTAACCAGAAGAAACCCCCACCCTTCCTCCACCCGACACCAAACTGTATTGCTTCTGCGAATGTTTACAAATAAATGTGTGCCCTTGGATGTTTTCAAGTGATATCTTTTTAACTTTTACGTTTCTAGGACTGGTATTCAATTTAAAACACGTTACATACCGGCAAGTTTTCCCTGATTTTGCAATAAAGCGCATTTTAGGCTGTTGACCAGCCAACTGTTGCAAAGTGATATTTTTAGCTTCGAGGTAAACGTCCCCTCCATCTCCGCCAATTCCGCCATACTTGAACTGGCCTTTGCCACCGGTTCCGCCGCGAACGTATATACGCAAATGGTCACGCAGTAGTCGACCACCGCCTACAAGCTGAACGCGCTGTGTGAATAAGCTAAACAAACAACGAAGAGTCTTACCTTTATGGGAGCACACAGAAACGTATGACAACGAACCATGGAAGAATGTCAACGGTACCTTACTTAAGCAAAAAATAGGTACCCTACAATGGAAATTATTTGAGAAATGTAACTGTGTTATTTCAAAAATTTCAAAAAAAATTCCACTATGCCACTTCTACTTCAATAAAACTGACATCGATTCAGTGCGCATAGATACAAATACAAAAGTGGCGTTAAAGTCTGTTTCGGCAAAAAAACATTGGCAGTCCTCAGAGCAAACGTTGAAAATTGCAAAATTAATCGACTGCCCTTTGCACCACTGGCTTCACATGATGATAACATGAATCCACAAGTTTTAAAAACATTATTACGGTTAACCGTCACAGCAACATGGAGGAAATTCTCCGATTTACTGATATCATCTACCAAGTACTGTCTGGGTCAGTCGTCGAACTTGCCAGTAATTGTTCGTTCCTTCATCTGTAACGCCCGTAATCGGACATATGAAAACAGTCCACTCTTTTAATACAGATCATCGAACGGTTCCTTTCTCACTTTACCACGATCTTCTAAACAAAGTTGCATAAACGAACCTGTTGATACTCTACACAACTCTGTTCAGGTATATACGAACATACATGGCTGGAATGTGCCTGTTCCTTCATCTTCATCTTCATCTTCATCTTCATCTTCCATCGCCGCTTCGCCTTTCGGGTAGCGGAGGCAGACACGTCAGACAGTGCTTCCAACGTTCCCAATCCTGTGCCAGAGTCTGAGCTTCGGCAAA